TTCGAGTCCGTCAGGTATCGCGGCTGGTTCATCGGTACCCCGCATGAGGACCACGACCAGGTGTGCACGGTGGAGATGTGCACGGTGGACTGCGCGCGCCGGCAAACCTGCTTCAAAATAAACTGAATTTACTTGAATTACGGCCGCAGGTCTTCATTTATTTTACTTTATTGTGACTCGCCAGCAGGTGGCGCAAACGCGCTAAAAAGTCCTCTTTGACTGGCGGATTAAATGTGTTGTACTAAATAAATCCATCTCATTGTGAAGAGAAAGTAACAGGTTGTTCCTCAAAAGGTTGTCGGCTATTGTTGTTAATACAGTGAAATATTTTCATCTGCCGTCTGTTTCCACCAATATGTCTGATGTGTGTTCTGCTTTGCTGAAACATTAATGCCTTTAATGTGTTTTCAAAATAAAATCTTAATCTCTGACTAGTTGAACTGCCTCAAACATCCTTTTAAAAAAACAAATCAACTGCATCAAATGTTCATTTTGAGGAAGAAGACTCTTAATGTCAAAAGTTTATCAGCTGCATGTCCAAATATATGGATTAACAACATCTTGAAACCAAAAATCAAAATGATCCAATTAATTAAAATATAAGACAAACATTTTAAATCACAAAATAAAAGTTACTAATTACGAAATCAGACAGTCTGACAGATTGTAAGAAATCAAATACAAATATTTCTCAGAATAAGTCACACGTTGATTAATTATTAATAAGTGTTATATATCTTATATTTTCCCTTCAATTCGAACCATTTAGTGCCGAATGCAGCAAAAACACGCCGGAGAAACGTGTAACGCCTGAAGACAATTAAACATCGTAACTATAATAATTAAAAGCCCTTAAAAGAAGCTCCGGCCAATCAGAGGCCGCCGCGAGCACGTGGCCTCCCCCTGATTGGCGCAGCCCGCTCGGGTTTGCATGGCGACACCTGGCCGCCTGCTCCGCCAATGAGGAGGCACCGCGCTGCATTCTGGGTGCGTGAGGCAGATTATCGCAGCGATGCGCGTTCACCTTTAGTGGCCAAGTGAGGGCACGTCTTTACCGCAGTGTGTGAGCGCGTGCTGGTGTGCGCGCGCCTCCCTCTGCCGCGCACATTCTCGGCACATGGCAACAGAAGCTAAATATAACCGCCGCAGCAGCTCGGCCTCACAGCGGGACGCTGCGCCCTCGCGGAGGATCCTCCCGCCCGCGCGCCTCCGACTCCTGCAAACATGGGTCTCCACACACGCGCACACGCGCACGAACACACGCACTGTTCTGACTCCGTGCACCGTGATTTCTTGCCCTTCATCCTTTGTGGCTGAAGAGACACTTTAACCCAAATACACACAATGTTATTTTTAAAAGAGTCAAATATTATGTCGAAATATGTCAAGGAAAAAAGTCAAACAATATTATGTCAAAAATGGGTTTTTTTAAATGTAAAAATATGTTGTGTCAAGGAAAAAAAGTTAAAAAAAAAAACATTACATTTTTTAATTAAAAAAAGTAATATTTTGCGTCGAAATATGTCGCGAAAAAAAGATATTAGGACGAAACATTTTTAAATGTGTCAAAATATGCCATGATAGGTCAAAAATGAGGTCGAAAAATGTTTTGAAAAAAAGTCAAAATATGTTGTGAAGAAATATGTCATGAAAAAAAAGTTTAAAAAACTTGTATTGAAAAATGTTTTGAAAAAAAGTCAAAATATGTCACAAAAAAAGACAAAAAGTCAAAAATATTAGGCTGAAAAAAGCACCAGGGCTTATCAATGCTAAAATATATTTAATAACTCCTGACCGGGGTGCTTTGAATGCCGGATTTCTGAAGGCATCCTGACTATAAAAGTGACATTTATTAATTGATTATTACCGTCTAAACATATGAATACAGTATTCCATTGCTGCTAACTAAACCCTGCTGACTGTGGTGGACTGTCCTTTAAAGGCACAGCTCACACACCCTCACATTTCAAGAAGGCAGCAACGGCACCGATCCCAGCATGGCAGCACTGGATGCCCCCCCCCCGGATACCCCCCCACGACATGACAACGCTGGCACTGTGCATGCGTATGCACCAGTCTCAGTGTAGTCCTGATCCTCTATGTGAACCCGTCTCAGTGTAGTCCTGATCCTCTATGTGAACCAGTCTCAGGGTTCACCTGAACCTCCTTCAGCTCAGACTCCAGTCCCTCGCCCCAACAGGGGATCACCAACATCAAATGAAACTCATTCTTATCGACAAAGACCCTCAGCCTCGACCGAAGCGCCGATCCCTCTGGAAACCATGAAAACATGTGTGTGTGTGTGTGTGTGTGTGTGTGTGTGTGTGACGGAGGTCCACAGCTGACTCCTGGAGGAATGTTGAGTCTGTAGAGGAACATTAAAATAGCACACGCACACACACACACACACACACACACACACACACACACTGACAGCTGCCAAATATACCAGGGGGGAGAAGAAGCAACAACAGGAGACGGGACGAGAAGATCAAATTACCCAGAAGCCTCTTCTTCTCGGGGAACAACTTGACACCGTGCTTCCACCTCAGACACAGCTGCTGTGTGTGTGTGTGTTTGTGTGTGTGTGTGCTGTACGAACATGTGCTGCTCATACTGATGAAGGGTCGTTCATATTAAACCATAAACATTTACCATCATCACTCAGAGGAGAATATTAAAAATCTAAATGTTGAATAACATTTTTGTAATTTCAGCTACAAGTTCAAAGTTAATACGTCAATAATAACATTGATCAAATAATATAACAGTGAGATTGGAGGAACTTTTACTTTGATAGTTGAAGTACTTCCTGTTGCTGATCACTGATGGAAAAACATTTTGGCTGCATTCGAATTGTCAAAAAACGACCTCCTAACCTCCTTTCCTAACCACCTTTCCTTAACCTCTGTGGAACACGTCAAGGAAAGGTGCTAAAGGAGCTACGTAAGGAAGCATTGAGGCCTTTCACTCAGTGAGGAACCTTCCTGAGCAGAGAGGACGTTCCAATCCAACCTTCAGCAGTTTGAATATGAGCTTTAATCTTCTCACATATGAGGTTTTGCTGCATTTTCCTGTTTAGTGTCCTTATAAAACCAAAAATATGCAACATAAAGTACTTGTCAAAAATCTTGGAGGGTGATTTTTTTTCTCCATTTTAAAAAGGTTTTCGATCAAGAAAATAATCAATATATAAGTTAGACAAACAATTTGTAAATGTGATCGTAAATTGATTTGTCATCTTAGAAACTAACATGCAAATCTTTTGATAATCAAGTCATTGATTTGGTTGATTTCTCAGTGGAAAAAAGGGGATTTCTTTAACTCCATCTTCTTGGATGCGAATATGTTCTTTCTCTTCAGTAAACTGAATATCTTTAGGAATTTAGGACACTGGAGGACGTCACATTTTATCGATCAAACGACTAATCAATTATTTAAATAAATCACTTACAGGTTCATTGACATTAGTCGTTAGCGACGATTACATTCATTAAATACAAGGATTTAAGACTGTAGTCACATCAGCTGATGCATTTAAAGCTGTTTTCATTAAGTGTGATACTTTGACAAATAACAGAAATAATCTGGAGGTTTGAGCCACATGTTTGTTTAAAGAAATTAACCTTTTTATTGTCATTATGTTTAGACTGGAATTTCCTTTACACAATACATTTTCCTTTATACGTATTTCAAAATATCTTCTGCTGGTTTGCTCGGTTATATTTTTTTATTTTTTCCCAAGTAGAATCTCATGTTTTTAATATAGTTCTCTTTCTGAAAACAAATAACAGAAACATCGTGTGTTTCTGTGCCGGGTCGTCACGCGTCAAAAGTAAAGAACTGGTGGAGACGGCTGTCTGTCCTCTGAGCGTGACAGAGAGGCTCATGGGAAAAAACACCCCCCCCCCTCCTCCAGCTGACGCAGTCTGGAAGAGTTGAAGGTCTGAGAAGCTCCGGATATTTGGACCCTTGTCGTGGCACAGGGAGCAGTTCTGCATGGGGGGGGGGGGGGTCTGGATGGTGTCCCGGGTGGCCCAAAGACAGTCCTCCACCCACATGTTGGATCCCCAACACCAGGGATGCTCCGGTGCTTCAGTGGAACATCCCGGCCAAGAACGCATGTCATAAAACCCGTCTGCACCCCCCCTTTAAAAAAAGACAATCCTCTCAGTAACGTCTCCTCTCATGTTTGGGGGGGGATCTTCTTGATTAACAGCAACACGACCCACATGCATCAAAACATCCACAGGAGCTTCCACGTTTCATTCTTAACCTTCAAAATAAAAGGAAACGTAATAAAACACAATAAGCCCCACGATCTGCCCACGAGGAGACCTGGACCGGAACCGCAACAAATGGATGCTGCAGTTTCATCTCCTTTCTCCTGAAGCCAGAAAAAAACATCTTAAAACCTCCTTTTAAATATAAACTATGCTGCAAATGAGGGAAAACAAGTATTCATTGGCTTCGTTTCTAAGTTATAAAAACCAAATCTGCTGGTTTTAGTAGGTTCTCTCTCCCATCATCATCATCATCATTATTATTATTATTATTATTTTTTACAATAAGCAACTCTCCCCCCTTTCAGATATCACTCCAAGCTCCAGCAGGAGACGCTTCTTCTTCTTGTTTAGACGCCGCGGTTCTTTAGCAGCTGCTACGCAGGTGTCGGACTTCCAGCCCGGACTCGTCAGTCGTCGTCCGCGTCGTCCCCCTCGGACTCGTCCCGCCTCTCGTACCCCTTGTCCCGCTGCCGCTCCTGGATCTCCTTCATCTCCTCCGCGTAGCGGCTGAAGGCCCCCCCGAACTTGCCCCAGGCCTTGAACGGGACGGTGATAGAGTTCCGGTAGCTGGGCTTCACCTCGCTCACCCGCAGGAACACGCCGTATTTGTTGGAGCCCACGTCGAAGAAGAAGCGCTTGGAGTCCACCATGATGGAGGTGCCCTCGGGGAGCTCGCTGCAGCCGCGGGCGCCGGCCGCCCCGCCGGCCAGCTCCTCGTCGTCCCCGCCGTAGTCGTCTATGAGCTTAGCCAGCGCGTCCCGGAACTCGATGAGCCCCTGGGCCGGCAGCGCGATGGTCTGGCCGGACAGCATGCCGCCCGCGGGGCCCCCCGCGCCGAAGCCCGGTCCGCGGTTGACGGTCTGCCGGATGCGGAGGAACCTCCCCCGCTGGTTCTCCTTCAGGTCCAGGTAGTACTTGCGGTTCTCCCGCACGAGGAACTCGCTCTTGAGAGCCCGCCGCGGCCCGCCGTCCTCCCCCGCGGTGGCCTGGGCGATCTGCTCCGGGCTGCTAGGCCCGAGCTGGGCGTAGTGCTCGATGAAGTCCCCGAGGTAGTCGCGGAACTCGGCCGCCACCGAGAGGGAGAGCGTCAGGCGGCTCTTGGAGCCTCCGGCCCCGACCTCGGCGATCTTGATGAACCGGCCCTTGCTGTTCTGCTTGACGTCCAGGTAGAAGCGCTTGTTCTGGATGTCGAGGCGCTTGGACGCCAGCTCCTGGGTCTCCTGGTCCCGCTGGTAGTGCTGGAAGCCGCCGCCTCCTCCTCCTCCTCCTCCTCCCCCGCTGCTGCCGCCGCGCTCACTCCCGCTGTCGCCATCCGCCATCTTCAGCTCCACCATTCGGCTTCTGCGCCTCTCTCCTGCGTAGCTGCTCCCCGCGCGCGCCCCTCACGCTCCGCGCGCAAGCACGCCTGCGAGCGTCGCGATTGGCCCGGCCGCCTGTCACTCACACGGTTGCGGCTCTCTTATTGGTTGCTTGTTTTTAGGTGTCACACCCACTTGTAAAATCTCTCGTTAGCCATTGGCCAGATTGAGCTTCCGTTTAGTTTCTAAAGTATCTGTTTTTATAGCAATGTTATGAGGAAAATTAGTTATTTTCTGGATTCAACTGGTAAAATCTGTCGACATACTTTAAATGTCCCTTAATCTCGTTTGCCATGTTTTAAATGATACTATTCCTGTATTCCCAGTGATTGTTAATGGTGGAGTAATTTAAGATTTAATAGCAATACAACAGCATAAATACTAAAGTAAAGATGCTACTTTCAACATGTAAATTAAAAATTAAACTACACATGTATTTTAGTAAAGTACTACAAGTAAAAGTACACACTATGCAGAGTGTCGTATTATAATATTATAATATGAACATTATCATGCACATGAATTTGAATTACATCCTCATTTAAGTTGTGTATTATTAGGTTGAATCTGAAAAGTAACTTATTCAAATACATGTAGTGGAGTAAAAAGTACATTATCTCTGGAGGTAGTGAAGTAAAAAAATTACAATATGTTACTATGAGATGTAGTACAGTGAAAAGTACAATATGTACCTCCGAGATGAAATATAGTAAAAAATGATTTATGAAATACTCAGGTAACTCATTACAGGTATTCTCATTTGTGTTGGAGCTCAGTGCTTCAGGTACTGAAGGTTACTTTGCACCACATGTGTACAAAGACTTGATTCCTGCAGTACCCGGATGTGCCCGCTGGGGGCAGCAGAGCGTCACTTTCCTCTCAGCAGCTGCAGAAGAACCGACAGTCTCTCTACGATTGTTTCAAGCCTAAATGACTATTTCACCTAAGTAAAAGTATTAATACAACAAAATATAAATTCTCTAAACTAGATCACTTATATTTAGAAAATATAGAAGTTTAATGAAACTATTTTCACATTTCACTGACAAAATCAATCACATTATTTTGTAAGAAAATACATCAAATAATTTAAGATTTTCAGGAGTTTTTGTTTGTACATCATGAAACATGTTTGTGTTTTTGTACAAGGCAACTAGTTCATAAAATACTACAACGATACATAAATATTGCACCACTTTCATCGATAGAAAGATACTTAACTCGCATTTATTCCGATTAAACTCGTCCAGTTTGCAACTTCATAACGTCAACATCACATCACAGGATCGATGACAAAGTGATTATTGATGACAAACGTCGTCCCTCGTGAGACAAAACTCTCATCGATCATCAGACAACTGAAACGTGTCCTTTGTTAAATGAGCCTCATCGGCAGCATGAAAGCACTCAGCTGTGTGACGTCATCACTTTTCTTCTTTTAATTGGATCATTTGACATGTTTTAATGTATGTGAAGTTTGTGTTTTGTCTACAATCTATAAGAAATAACATCGGTGGAGTAAGTACTCCAATTTTTTCCCTGAGGTAAAAGTACCTGTACTACAGGCTATAAATATGTATTTAAAATCCTAAAGTACAGGAGTTACTACAAATTTTGAGTAATAATTCAATTTGGATAATTAATGCTGATGATTAAAAACTACAATATTTATGAAGTATAACACAACAATACAGTACATTCACCTTAAAAACGTACGTATGTATATAGTATATACCCAGTATATATGGAGATATATTTTATTGTTTGATTATTAATACTGTGGTATATTATGTACAAAAGTAGTGGAGTAAAAGACAAATAAGTAAAAGTAGTACAACATTTAGAATTATACAGTAGTATAAAATAAAGTACCTGCATTCAGTGACATTCCACCTCACACATTGACTCTGAGGGTGAAAACGCATCAGACGACCCGTAAAGTCTGAATAATGATTTTATTTTTTTCACAGAGACAAAGAAACAAAAGCCTTCACATTTAAATAGATTGTAACCGTCCAATACAGTGACCTGCACAACAACAACAACAACAACGACCATCACAG